GGTATGTTTAAATTTATGTCTAAATAATTTAAATTTTTAGCTGATTTTTTTCCTGCTTTTCGTATTTAGGCCGAAATAAAGGCAGTTTTGAGAACCGTCAGCTTAAAGGACAATTTGGACTATGACGAAACTTTTAATAGTGAGAAAAATGTCACATTACGTCGTAATCTGATTCCTGAATTACAAAAGTCCTTGGCTCTGAATTTTTGGCCTTCTATTGATCAACTTATGAACTGACTGAAAACCCTCCATAAGTCACGTCAAACAGCTCAAAAAATTAAAAAAGCGAAAAGAGCCCTTTGGAGCTGCGACAAATTCATAATAATAATTGAGTACATAAAATAAGCAAATAGTATATATTCTGAATTTGGGTCTATTTGTATTAATAATTTAATATCATTTATTATTTATTAGAAAATAGCTCAGTGAGTAAAAGTGGCAAAGTATTTGTTTAAAGAAAACGACCAATGAATTGTGAAATATGAAAGGCAACCTTTATTTTAAATTCTCAGCGATTACCTATATCATTCACCAAAAATCAGCGAAACAGATGAAGAAAATCATCAAAGATCTATTATTGCTGTATATGACTATTCTTGGCAATCAGCCAAGGTTTATTATTTTCTTTATTTAATTTAGCATATTTTGAATTTATTTAATATATTCCACTAATTATTTTCTTCTTTTAAGCTAAAAAATTTACTAAGGAAGATACTCGATCCTTGTGCTGCTGCAACATCATCATCTCAAATTCAACAAAAGAGAAAATACAATGATAATGTACAGTATTATAACTGGTCACATCCTTATAATACTCCAAAGTGATCATATAAAGCACAACCTAATACGATCTATTATACTAAAGTCGAAGCAGAAGTTACAACTGCAGAAGAATATGTAATAGAAACTGAAGAATATACTGAAGTCAGAAGGGGGTTTCATCCGCTGCTGAAGAAGATAAAGATAATCCCGTAATAGACGATGGTGAATGATAAATTTTTGGGCGATTTGGGTGGAAACAGGTTGATTTTAATAATTATTTTTTACATTTTTTTGGGCGATTTGGGATAGGAACAGGTCTATTTTAATAATTATCTTTATGTTTTTTTCAGGTGATTTGGGTGGGAACAGGTCAATTTTAATAATTATCTTTACGTTTTTTCAGATGATTTAAGTGAAAACAGGTCGATTTTTAATAATTATCTTTACATTTTTTGGGTGATTTGGGGTGAGAACGGGTTGATTTTAATAATTATCTACATTTTTGGAGGTGATTTTAGATGAGAACGGGTTGATTTTAATAATTATTTTTACATTTTTTTGGGAAATTTGGAGTGAGAACAGGTCGATTTTTAATAATTATCTTTATATTTTTTCAGGTGATTCAGGTGAGAACAGGTCGATTTTAATAATTATTTACATTTTTGGGTAATTTTAGATTGATTTTTCTATTTTCTACATTTTATATTTATTATTTTTACATTTTTTGGCCAATTTTGGAAGGAATGGATCATATTTTTATCATATATTATTTATTTATCTATATTTAGAATAATTTAAGAGGATTTTGGGAGAAAATGGATAAGATTTTATTATTTTATTATTCTATTTTTAATAGGAAATTAATCAGTAGATTTTAGTGATATTTTGTTATATTTTTGCAAATTTATATTAGGTTTTTATTATTAATAAAATTTTAATATTTAATAAATTTAATAAATAAAATATACCAATTATTGATGCTAAATTGCTTGTTTAGTTGGAGTCAATTAGCATCGATCGATGTCTGAATTGTTGCTGAATTGATTCTGAATTGAGGCTGATTTTGGCTGATTTATAGTTGAATTGCTTGTCTGATTGGAGTCTATCAGCATCTGAATTGTTGCCAAATTGAGGTCAATTTTAAGCTGATTTATGGTTATTTAAGTTCTGAATGGCCATGTCCGATTGGAGTCAATCAGCATCTATTAGCGTCTGAATTGTTCTGAATTGAGACCAGTTTTAGGCTGATTTATGGTTGAATTTAAATTCTGAATGGCCATATCCAATTGGGGTCAATTAGTGTCTATCAGCACCTATTTATGCCGATCAGAAAATATGGCAAATCAAACGTAAATAGTATCAAAATCAGCCTAAAATCAGCCATCTAATTTTAGCTGATTTAGACTATTTTGACTGGTGTTATTTCTCATAATGCAACATATAAGCGTGTATTTTCAATCTTAGGATGATATCTTAGCAAACAGGTGTACTAGGTAATTTAACAAAATTTATATTATTAAAATTTTAATTATTATTACTTAAATTACTTAATTTATTTTAGAATTAAAATAGAACGACTTTAAGTAATGGTACAAATGCATTCATATTTTATAACAAATGCAAAATCAGAATTAAAGTTTTAAATGAAAACATTTTTTTAGAAACACTTGATGAAACTTTTGATCAAATTACATTAGCAATGGCAAATGAGAGTGATTTATTTGAAGATAATGAAGAATTTGAAACAAATTTTACTTTTGAATATGATGAAATTAAAGATATAGAAGAATTAAATAATGATAATTTAGAAATCATTGATTATATTGATTTATTAGCAAGTATATTAAATGCAGATAATATTAATTCTGATAAATAAGAAAAAGAAATCAGAATTGATCATGGAGATCTAGATTTTGATGTTGATGAAATGGTAGAAAATTTAAAATCTTAATTTTAGTAATAAAATAATAGTTTTAAAAAAATTAAGATTGTTAATAAATATTATAATAAATATAAATATTAAGTTTACATAATCATTATTTTTTTTATTTGATTTATTATAACTTTATTAAGTTTATTTATTTATTTTATAATATAAATTTAATTAACTAAATTTAGTTTTAATATTAATTAATTACAAATATTTGTAGGTATTATAAATGATAAATTTAAATAATACTAACATTAGAATTTGGGATTATGGGATTTGGAATTGGAATTTGGGATTGGGATTATGGGATTTGGGTAGGATTTGGGATTGGGATTTGGGATTGGGATTATGGGATTTGGGTGGGATTTAGGATTGGGATTGGGATTGGGATTTGGGATTGGGATTGGGATGAGATGGGATGGGATGGGATTTTAAAAGAAAGGGTATAGGTATCAACTATACCAATAGTGATTGCGTTTCTTTTGCTCACCACTGTAAGTATAAGATAGTATTTCTTATTTATATATAATTTTGATTTAACTTTATTAAGTAAACCAAAAGTATTAACTGGTTTATTAATTATAATATTTTTGTCTCTTTATTTTCAAATATATCATTTTATTTATTACTATCAAAATCTTTATTATATGAATACTTTGCAGTAAAAAAGGAGAAAACTACCAAAAAAATTTTTTTTACTTTCTAAGCTAAATATTATTTTTTTTAGTAGAATAAATCCAGATTTAACATTAATTCAAAAAAATTTTTTTTTGGTAATTTCCTTCTTTTTTATTACAAAACGCCTATTTAATGATAAATTTATTATAAGTATTTTAGTATTTCTATTAACATACAAATTTATTTAAAATTTTAAAAAGATTAATTAAAATATTAGAATTAAAATAAGATATAATATTTGTAAAAAAAAAATTGATAACATAAAAAATATCAAATATAAAAGATAATTATAATATTTTATAAAATAAATTAATAGATAATAATAAATATAAATATCTGTCATAATTAAAATATAAAATTTATTTAAATAAATTAAAATCAAATAAAGTAAAAAATTATAAAAATGCTGTAAGATACTTTTTATAATAATTTCTCCTATCGAATATTATAATGATATAATATATGATATATATAATATAAATATGCTGATCATTTTATTGTTACTAATTTTTTCCTAAAATTTTTTTATTTTAATTAAATTATTGCAATTAAAATACTGTTAATATGTAATCCTTGCGAATTGTGACAGTTAGACAGGGTATTTGAGTGGTAATTCTTTTAAGTTTACTTAGTGACTCAACTCAATTTAACTCAAGATTTATAATTTACACAGTGGTGTACTCTTAATAAGACTAAAAGCAAGACAGCTTAATTGATTTAAGGATATAATAATATGTTTATTAACAATAAATGATAAAGAAATAAGAAATAAGAAAATAAGAAAAAATAAGAAAAAGTAAAAATGTTAAAGTACTAAATGCGAAAGTTAGGTCAGATGCCTTTAACAAAACTACTAAAGGTGTATCTAATGCAAAACTAAAAGAAAAACTTAAAGCAAACTAAAAGCGAACTAAAGTTACATGATTTTATAATTTTCTATTTATATAAAATTAACTATATAGATAGATATAACAAATAAATCAAATATATTTAATATGTCTTATATGTTGAATATATTAAATATGTCTGATATATCTGTTATATCAGATATATCAAATATGTTTGATATATCGAATATGTCTGATATGTTTGATATTTAGATTTACAATATACTGCATCATGTTCGTCAATCCAATCTGGTTACATTACTCCCTATTTAAGATTTCTATTTCAGCAGAAAGATTTAAAACTTCAATTACCAGGGCTTGATATTCAGTAGTTTTTAAACGTTGAACTATTGTCAAGATAAGTGACTGAGTTTTAAAGATTCGTTGAACTTCAAGATTTTTAAATAAATAAAAGACTTGTATAGCAGTTTGATAATAATATGTAGTAATAGTAGAGGCTTATAGAGTACGTTGAGCAGGAATAAAGGTCTAGTTTTGAGAAGTTATCTTAAATAAAAGGAGTTGACAAATAATAAAAGTTGATTATTCATACGCGTTGATCATAAGAGAGCTCAGTAAGTTAATTACACTTTTTGTGATAAATCATATTAGCTTTATAAGGTTCCAAGTTCTGCGTAATTATAGTCGAGAGGGTTGTTATATATTTTAGTTATTTCAACACAGTTTCAAAATTATCTAATATAATCATTTTAAATTTTTCAAAATAGTTTCTTCAGAATCACTATTAGATCTATATTTATAAGAAACTCATCAACTAATGATAACTTGTGATGTTCATTCAAATCTTTTCAAATATAGTTTCAAGAGATCAGCATATACTGGATTCTTTCTAACTCATCCATTTATAATGCGTAATTTGTATGTATCAGGTTATATAATATCATGTATGTAGAATGGTCCATCAAATTTATCTTTAAATTTATTACTATGTATGTGTGACTGTAATATATTAAACATTAACACTTTATCACCAATTTAGTAATTTATTCTAGGATGACTTTTATTATAATATTTCTATTATTATTATTGATGTTGCAAAATATTTTGTTGTGCATCAGATCTTCTTTGTTCTAATTGAACTGAAATTAATTAATGGTATTACTCTCAGGTGAAGAGCATTGCAGTTGTAAATCAATAGGTAATATGACCTTTTTCTTATATAATAATTTAAAGGGCTTTAATTTAGTCATTTCTTGCTATGCAGTTCAATAAGCAAATAGAGCTAAAGGTAAATATGAATCCTATTCACCTTTATGTTGCTCAATATATTTTGCTAAAATATTACAAAGAGTTCAGTTGAATCGCTTAGTTAATCTATTGGTCTGAAGGTAATATAGAGATGATAATCTATGTTTAGTTTCAACAATATGCATAAGAGCAGCAATTAATTCATTTTGGAAAGACATAGCTCTATCTGTTAAGATTTCCTTTAGAGTATTATGTCGACAAATTATTTCACTATAAATAAATTATGCAGTTGTTTAGAAAGTACAATTAGAGATTGCGGTAGCTTCTACCAATTTGGTAAGATATTTAGTAGTAACTATAATATATCTGTTTTCTTTAGTAGTTTGAGGGAGAGATTCTACATAATCTATTCTAATACAGTCATATGATTGTCTAATAAGTATTGAATGTAATAGTTCTATCTGTTTAGATCTTCCTTATTGTTAGTAAGTATCACAAGTTTTTATCTAATTATTGATTACTTAATACATGTTTGACCAGTAATATTTAGAGGCTATTTTATTATAAGTTATATTGCAACTTAGATGTTCTCCTAGAGATTCATTGTATATATTGTAGATTAAGATTTGACTTCAGTGATTCTAATGACTAATAAAGATTAGAAAGGTTATTTTTGATTTTTACGATAAGGTTGTTGATTTTTAATAAAGTATTTGAAGGATTATTTTTGAATTTTAAGTTGTTATATAAGGTTAGTGTTTGATGGGTAATTTAAGGTATTGAGAAAATTATAAAGTTGGTTATAGTTTTTAAATCCATTTTATTTATCAGAGATGTCAGTCACACTGCTAACATTTAAACTTTTACTCTTTGTTTTGTTGATCTTAAGTTATAATTAAGTTATGAGAGAGGGAATCAAGATAGTGCATCTGCGTTTAAATATATTTTTCCTTTTCAGTATCTAATTTTATAGGAAAACTCTATGATCCTAATGATCCATCTCATAAATTTTCTGAGTAGATCTGGTTTATTAAATAACCATTGTAATGCTGCATAGTCAGTTATTAACTCAAAGGGTTGATAAAGTAAGTATGATCTAAAATGTTCTATTCCCCAAATGATAGCAAGACATTCCAATTTAGTAGACGCATAATTTCGCTTAGCATTATTTAAACTTTAGTTAGCATATGCAATAATACGTTTTTTATTTTGGTTATCAAGTTGTATTAGTACTGCACCAAGTCCTACATAGGATCCATCAGTGAATAATAAAAACTTTCGTTTGAAATCAGAATATATTAAAATTAGTACTATAATTAAACAACTTTTCAGATATTCAAATGCTTTCTGCTGAGATAAAGAATATATGAAGGGACTTTCTTTCTGCAATAGTAAATGTAAAGGAGCAGCTTTAATAGAGAATTCTTGGATAAATTTATGATAATAAAAGGCTAGTCTCAGAAATCCTCTAAGTTTTGTAGTATTTTTAGAAATTGGGAAGTTTTGATTTTATTAATTTTTGATAGGTCTGACAAAATTCCTTGTCTGCTAACAATGTGTCCTAAAAATGAAGTTCAAGTTTACAAAACTTACATTTATCTTTGCCAAGTTTTAATCCTGCTTGCTTTAGTTTTTCAAAAATATGCTTTAAATATTATAGATGTTCCTCAAAGATCAAAGAAAATATAATAATATTGTTAAGATAAACTGCTACAAATTGTCCAATTTCTTTCTTAAAAACTTTGTTCATCAATCGCTAAAAAGTAGCAGATGCATTTGTTAGTTTAAATGGTATAACCTTAAATTCGTATAATCCTTGACTATAATGAAAGCTGTTTTTGCTTGATCTTCAACTTCTATTACCACTTGCCAGTATCCATTAACTAAATCTAAGATAAAAAAATATTTAGAACGTCTAAACATATTCAATAGTTCATCGATCTATGGTAATAGATATCCATCTCTTCTAGTAATACTATTCAGCTTCTAATAGCCAACACAAAAATGTAAACTTCCATTTTTCTTCTGTGTTAGAATAATAGGTGAAGCCTAAGGACTTTCAGATGGTTGAATAAGATTGTATTTTAACATTTGATTAATTTCTTTCTTAATAAATTCTTGCTTCAAAAGTGCAACTTGATAAGCTTATTGTCATATTGGAAAGGGATTTTC